ACTAAACTCTAAAAATTCACAGCGTTTTATTATAATAGTGTTCTCATTATAATTGTTATGTATATGACAATCCCAGTCATAGTTGCATTATTAATATTATGCATTGTTGTTTGTCCTGCTTGCACTGCAGGCATGATCATAACACCCCGCGAATATTCGACTGTGAGATTGGTATTCGAATCAGGCTCCTCCTATCGAAGCATCATCTATTCAGGGTCACCCCTTATTTTTTATTAAAAAAAACAACAACAACATGGGCAACAAAGGACCTCAGAGTCAACACAAAACGATGTTTACAACCCTTTTTAAGTCTGTAATATGATGCATTTTAGAATGAAATGGACTTGATCAGCTAAAGTGGTCTCAATAGGGCAGATAGTTAAAAAACAAGAAAGGTTGGTGACGTCAGATGAAAGTCATTTGAAAGCAAAGATGAAAACACATTGTCTTTGGAATAATGCATACTAGGGATGCACAATACAGCAGTCCAAACTGGTTCATTTTTATTAATAGATTTGAAAAAAATGTATCAGTCGATATATGCCTAAATTCATGTTAAGCATTGAAAACTAGTTTTCGTTGATCGTGATCAATTATTTTGACTTATATAAAGTCACGAATATTAATAAGTCATTTCTTTTGAGAAATTTCTTTTCTTTTTTTTTTTAGATTTCATCAGTATTACTGCAGTTTCATGTAAGCACCACGAAAATACAAGGAAGAAATGTATCCATCTAAGCGCTAAATTCCTGGGGATTTAAACTCTTGACATCTGGCAACCACAAACATTAAAGCTTGTTGAGCATTAAAACTTGTTAATGCAAGATAAACGTTTCAGGATAAATAACCAGCAAGACAATATCATAGATGCCTATGCTTAATTGTGAGAAGCAGAAATTGTAATTACAATTAAAATATGATTAATCGTGCAGCCCTAAATCACTCTAATCCCTGATGTGCACAGGTGAATAATTCACAATAAAAAGGTCCATTTTAATTTCATGTTGACTTTAAGATAGTACACCGTAGCAAAACAAACAAAATATGGATGGCATCTACCCTGACTAAAATCTATTGTTGATTGTACAGCACATATTTTTCTCTGCTCACCTGGTCCAGCAGGTGGGGAGCTGACAGTCATACCCTGTAAGCTTCCATTCCTGAGGAGGGATGGGGACTTCTGAATCCCCAGACTGCTGCTACCAGCACCCACTGCTCCCACACCTCCTGTACTGCTGACTGCACTCCCGCGGCAGGCCATGGTGCTCATAGAGGATGGCGAGGGGGAAGTGGATGAGGGCATTGTGGACCCATGCTCTCCCATATCAGTGGTTTTACTGTCCTGGGTGGTGAAGCACGGTCCATACCGGTTCCTCCAATTCCCTCTCTTCTTCTTCTTCCCGCCATCCTCGCCAGTAGATGAAGACGATGTCGCAGAAGAAGAGGATGAGGAGGGCTGGGGTCTTTTGTAGCCTGCCGAGGCCAGGCTTCCCAGCTCTCCGGCTGGGTGACAGTTTTCGTAATGCTTGCTTGAGCTGGAGCTTTGGGGGAGGGACATCATGCTGAAGGTGTTGAGAGCCACCATGCCTTCAGAGGCTGCGCTTTCTGCACCACCCTTCATGTGGTAATGGCTAAAGGATGGAGGTGTGTACGAGTCACCGGCTCTTAGGCTGGGATCAGAGAAGCTGAGGAAATCAGATGTGGGCTGAACCACAGACCCACTAGTGGCTGATTTACTGCTGCTGTTGCCTAATAAAAGACCTGAGAGAGAAAAAGGAAGACAAAGATAAAAGCACACCTTAATATCACAATAACTAATTTAGTTATCCAAAATGAATACCAAAAAACCCTCTCCAAAATGTGGAATGACTTGACAGTCATTTTTTTTTTGTCCTGATCTATTAATTTATTCAAAAATATATTGACTTGACTTCACCTATTTGATAAGCATGTTTTTAGCTCCCCCCCCACCCAAAAATACATTTTAAAACATTTTTGGAAATAACGATTAAGATATGTACTATTACATGTAAGGTGTAAGGAAAATTTTACTTGGTCACACCACATGAAATCAAATGTATATTTTTGCTGAAAATTCTATGGAAAATTTTCAAAACTATATTAAACCAACATGTATACAAACAGTTTTAAGAACTGATAGAAAGATTCTCCCTTTTCTTATCAAGGATCCTCTTATTTATCATCGAAAATGAATACAATTTAAAGTTATTCTACTAAAAAAACTAAAAAGGCTGCCTAAATCTCCAAACCCAGAAAATAACCTACAGAACCTGAAATCAGGCAATGCCGACATCTTCCACACCTAGGTGGGCCAGTCAAACTTGCGGGAAGCCAAACAATCAGGTATGTAGTCAGGCAAGAAGGGTGACCCAGATTTAGGTGTTCATTCGGGCCCTCCCCTCAGGCAAGGACTCGTCCTTTAACCAAAGCCAGAGAAACTCCGACATGCATGTTTTTACAGCTGTGGCAGGAGGCTGCTGAGGCTTTATTTCCCAATTTTACTTCGCAGTCTATCCCTTGAGCCTCCCGCTAACATTAAAACACGTACAGAGCTTGCATGCCAGTTAACACGTCTCGAAGATAAAGCAATGTCACACAAACAGCTGCCATAACCAATAGATAACTAACGGTATTCTGTATTCTTTCCAAAACACATCCATGAAGTTCTGCTATATCTTATCGCTGGATCCTAGATTAAACACTGCTATAAATTTACTGTCATTTCTCTCTGAAGACAAGCAAAAAATGTGTGAAAAGAGAGTTGAATTTAAGCAAGTGACCCAGAGATCAACCTAAACCCTTTTTGAAAGAATATTAGATTTTATCCGCCTTTCTTTTATCAACGACAAGATGATTCACATATTCGGCATTATAAACAGCTTTACATATTACCACTGCTCTCTGTTATTGTCAAACACAAAAAATTAATAAAAGATTGCTGATATTACAATCTCTCATATACTTGGAATATTACATCAGGGCAGCATAACAGAACAGTCGTGTGGCTCACCGAACCTGGGTCTGTGTCGGGTGTTGTCACAACAGCCCAGACAATATCACATACTCCCAGGCAGAAGATTAGACTCCATAGTTAATCACCACCATCTTTTGATCTCATTGCGCTCTGCTGAGAAAACACTGTGTTGTTTCTTCTTCCAGGGTTCCTTGAAGGTTCCCTTTAACTCCAGCGAGGAGGCTCCTGCCGTACTTTGACACATTAATGATTAGTCTAAATTTTCCAGACGTGACCTCTGCTTCAATCCCTCCATCACGGCTTGATAGCAGAAAGGAAGGGAACATGCTTCTCCTCCGATTCCCAAACTTCCCTCATAACACACATAAACACACTCACACACACACAGGAGACACCACCCACGACACAAACGGCTCGGAAAGACTCGCTGCTCCACATTGCAGCGGCAGCCAGTCAGACGACAGTCTTATCACACACACACACCAAGCTTATGTCTTCTGGCTTCCATCCAGCCCTGTCACAACAGACTCACTCAAATGTCACACACAGGAAGTCGACACGAGACTTGAATCTGGCAGTTCAATTTGGGAACATGCTAATTCATTTCATTCATTGAAAGTGAAGTTGGTATGTTTGGAAGTCTCACCTTGCTGAAAAGGACTGGTTGAGGAGGGAGCTGTGGATGACGTCGCTGTGGTGACCACGGGGCCGTGGGGTTTGCCCGGTGCCAACTTGCGGCCCCTGGAGCCAGAGATTGAGCTGGTGCTGTGATTGCTGGACTTCTTGCATTTGCCATCCGAGCTCTTGCCATCAGAGGAGCTGCCATCCTTGGAGCTGGAACTGGAGTGAGACGGAACTTCCTGGAAGTTGGCATTAGTGAAACGACCTCCGCTGTCGTCCAGTCGCTTCTGAGTGGAGGAAATGGAGGAGACACTTCCGCCACTGCTGCTGTTGTAGCTCTGTGGCCAAGAAGGGAAATGCACATATGGACAAAAATGCTTGTACTTTTTGTAAAATACTCAAAAAACAAACAAACAAAAAAACAAGTAATGACAAAAATAAATAAATTAATAAAATACAAAACTAAATAATAAAATAAAATATTAAAAGATAATTTTATTTATTTTATTTTATTTACTTTAACCTTCATATATATAAAAAGAGCTGGGTAGTAGCTGATTACATGTAATCCGGATTATATAATCAGATTCCAAAAATTAAGTACTTGTAATTGGATTAAATTAAATTTTAAAATACTCTAAATCAGACTAGTTACTTTTTTATTTATTACATGATTACATATTATTCCCACAATAGCAATACATTATTCATAATTTATTGATTCTCCCTAATTCCTCTTTTTCATCTTATAAATGTTCCTTTCTAAAATAGCCGACTGCTTACATAAACTCAGAAAGTCTTCCAGTTTTGTGGACATTCACACAAAGACCAGTCAATACAGTCAGCTGGCTACACAGCATTTGATCACTGGACTTACAAAAATCAGTTCAGGTTTAAGAAGAGTTTCAATTTTGCATCAACTACTGATGAACACATTAATTATTAAAGGTTATTTAACCATGTATTATTGTGTCTTTGGAAGGCTTTTGTCTTTCAAACACATTAAAAAGCACAAATTCATGCTATTTCTTATTTAGCCTACATGTAATGCAGCCATTCCTTTTTTGTCAGCTAAACCGTTTTTCACCTAATATATTTACTTGAAGTTCCCCCGAAGATTTTAAAATAAATATTTTAATAATTATCACATTTGCATGTTCACGGTTCTTTGACGTGGTTAATGGTCACATGACAAGCAGATAAACAAATTTTTCAATAAGAATTTTATTTTGATTGTTGTTATTTTTTTAAATAATTTATGATTTATTAAAACGATTTATTATAATTTTACATTTTTATGATTTAATTAATTATTAGCTTTTTATTAAACTCACGAACCCCCTGCAGTTCCTTTACAAAGCCCAGTTTGGGAAACCTTGACGTAATGTTTAATTCACTTCATGATGTTAATAACAAAGAATGGAATACATTTTCTTCCTCTGTATTTTTATATCAATATGGTACAAGATTATCCTATTCAAAACAATGTGATAAACAAGTTAGGTCAAAAGTAATCAAAAAGTAATCTGATTATATTACCTAAAATGTGTAATGTAGTGGATTACGATACTAACTACAATTTTTGTCATGTAATTTGGAATCAGTAACGTGTTACCCAGCTCTGTACATTTCTATATGTCTACATAAATATCTACACATATATATATATATATACATTAGGGATGTGCATCTCCATAACTGAGGCAGATGCGATACGCATCTCAATGCATAACCAACGATACGATACATTGAAGATACATATGAAGCAGCTAGCGATGCGATGCGATACGATACGATTCACCCCTATTACGATGCAGTGCGATCCGATTTCGATTCGATCCGATTCAACACAATGCGATTCGATGCAATACGATGCAATGGAAAAAATATGATCGCATTTATTTCTTTGGTCCAGACAGACAGCAAATCATAAATGAACTTATGTGACTACTGACTTCTAACGCCTCTAGGCCTGTTTCATAAAACAAGTTTACCAAATAGGCCAGGCTTATTTCAGTTAGTCTGACTCACTGTTAAATTATTTGGTTCCATAAAACTAATTTAACAAAGATCTGCTTAAGATTAAGCGTCCACAAATTAGTGAGATTGTGTGAATTTACATTGTCGTTTATGGAACTGCTTTAGCCCCGATTGATTTGTTTGGTTATTTCAAGTCAGATTGTGGAATTTAATCCCCGCTTTTCCTCAGGTCTCTGTAGTGTTGTTGTGATACGTCATATTCACGCATAGCGGTGATGAGAGAACGCGCTTGAGAAACAGTTTCGAGAGGAGAAATCAATTTACATATAAAATATTGGTCACTTTCTAAACAATAATATATAAATAAATAAATTAATCTAAATTAAAAAACTCATGCATCTATCATAATCTAACTCACCTTCTCAGAGGACACCATCAGTGCTGGCACCAAGGAAGGTGATAATTCCAAAGCCTTTTTGTGCTTTGGTTTGTGGCGATCTCTTTCTTTATGTTTCTGTGATGAAACAACACAAACAACAACATTAAATGAAGATGGTACCGCAAATGCTTCAACTAAAGCCAGTAGAGCTTGGGAAGGACTTTAGCCTACACTGTCATTTTCTGAAACAAAGAGGCAGAAAGATGGGAAACTTAAATGGGTGAAACAATGAAAGTCTCATTCTGAACACAGGGTATATACAGGAATCATGGGGTAAAATTTAATACCTTTTAAGACCTTTTTTTAAGACTCTTTCCATACATTTTAAGACGTCATCGCCACTCCAAGTTTTAACCGGTTACATCGGCGAAACTTTATAACTTACATTTACTATTGATTGTAAGATAGCGCAAATAAACAGACTTACTCCTTATCAATACATAGACTTGACAGAGTGTCAGTACTGCACCTGATCATGTCTGAATGATCATGGAAGGTAAAATAATGATCACAACTATTACATCCTTTTAATTGTGCATCCCAAGCCCATTCCAGTAAAAAAAACAGCCCAATGTAGCGCAATTACCATGTCCCAAATATAAAAATGTAATTTCCATCCATAAAATACATATTTTACAGTCACTGTTATGCACATTTATCATAAACAAATGCTCAAATGCTTCCTACTAGTGTGGCCCAAAACATTTAGCACAGTTTTATTACAGGTAGAATGCAAAATGTTTCAGTACAAGCACTTCAACCAAATGCAATTTATGCAATATTTCAGTACCATGGGTGCAGCAGGCGCAATGATATTACGCAGTGCCTGAAAATAGTCCCCAGCTAGGTCACTTCCAACGGAAGGCACGCTCCCTGTGTAAGCAGGTGGTCACGTTGGTTATGTTGGCGGAAGTTAACCTATTTTCAGGCGCTGCGTAACATCATTGCGCCTGCTGTCATTTTTGAGCGAGATGCTAATGGTCTAATCAGATTCAATGATCTATGCTAAGCTGCAGCTAAAAGTGCTACCGCCAGAACCGGAGATCAGCTGAATGGATTCGAAAACAGTAAAACTCAACTGTTTAACTCTAGGGGAGTTGGAAAATGAGTAACGTATGCTAAGCTGCAGCTAAAAGTGCTACGCCAGACCCGGAGATCGGCTGAATGGATTCGAAGACGGTGAAACTCAACTGTTTAACTCTAGGGGAGTTGGAAAATGAGCCTATTTTCAAAAATAGTGGAGTGTTCATTTAACCCACTGGGGAAAATCAACCCATGGCAACAGTTTAAAAGCAGCCCAATTTCGTGGAAAAAAACAACAACAACCCTGCATCCAACACGAGCTGCAGAAGTCAGATTTGACTAATCACGGGTCAAAAGTAAGGAGAGATAACTGACAAGATGTTGGAGGATTTGCTCCTCAACAGATCCCGAGCTCATCGACAAATATCTTTTATCGTAGGATGTGCTCCCTTTACACAGTGCGCGCACGATCGCGAAATCGAAAGTGAACTACGACTGCGAGCGCTCATTCAAAGGGGATTTAAATACCCCACATATCGTTAGCGGCGCCCTGATGCGCGAAAATTATATACAATATTAGAATGGTTGCAGGAGTGGACACAAAAATCACGGGAGCGGATGGGAGCGTGGTCAGAAATTCAGTGTGAGCGGGATCAACAAGCCCCGCGCTATCACGCAGCGGCGCAGTCAGTCAGTGAGCGCCGTAACAGATGAAGTCAAATCTTGCGGGATTCCATAAATAAAATACACAGAACCCCACTATTTGACAAATATACATATTGAAAAGATGATACAAAATTGAATACCTTGGAAATGGCATTTAAGACTTTTTAATACTTTTTAAGGACCTTAATTTTCTCTAAATTGATTTATCAACTTTTAATACTTTTTAAGACCCCGCGGAACAAGTCAATCGTTTGCATGCATTCTTCAAACCCAGCAAGGAGAGCCACTTGTGCTGCCCATTAAGATCATCACGTAAAGAAAACGAAAGGGTTTTCCTGTAGATGGATAAGGTTTCACATTGCAGGCCTGACCAGAGTCTACTGCAGCTTAATTTACACCCCACGCTCCATACAGCTCTATTTGCGCCCGAGAAGCAGGAGCGTGAACAAATTTACACCTCGCACTCCAATCGAACACCTTCAAACTCTCTGTTTCTGTTCTTAAGAGTGCGGCTGTAAAAATATGCAGTGATCCAGAACCATTCGTAGAGAATATTTACACATTCCCCACTGGAGTGATATACAAACGTCTATCTTTTTTTAGCCACTTCTGTCATCTTTCAGCCATTGTCTCAGTTAGAATTGACAATTATTCTGAACATGATAACGGTTTACGCTACTTCTCAGTGCAAGTGGTGGTGACAATTCCAGAGGCCCTCAGGCTCAAGTTTTTCAATGAAAATGAAAATGAGTTTCCGCTTCCTCTACGCCATGTACAATTTTCCTGCATATACTATTTAAAAAGCCATTTTCTTAGAATAGGAAAATCATACAAACTTGAAATGAAGGTTTTGAATAAGCACCCTGGGAATTTTTTTAAGTGGGTGGAAAAGATTGTGTTTGTATTGAATACTCAATGCTATTGGTTTTCATCTGCAACCTATCCATATATCCAAATGTCACTGTTTTTGTTATGCTTAAAAATCCTTTGCTCATACTCTAAATCACAAAACATTATTTAAAAAATCACAAACCAGTTTTGTATGCAAAGACAAGGCTTCAAGTAAATAACATTGTTCCTAAAGGTGTTGACAGGGCAGGTGTTTTTGTGAGAAAAAAAAAAATCACGTCGCTACTTGGCTTTGTTTATGAATGGAAAAAAGAAAAATACACAGCATAACATTCATCTAATTTCCATCAAATAAATAAATTGAAACCGTCTAGATATGCACACGCTTACGTAATGAACTGCTGTTTACTGGTCTAATTAAAATTCTGACATAAACGTCTTGCAAGAGTTTGACATAAGACGACAGCTATCTTAATTATACAAAGATGAATAGTTCAGGCAGAGGACACTGCAAAAGAGGCACTGCAAAAAAAGCCAAGACACTTATCATAATTCATCAATGCCTTCAGCAGATTAGTGAAATGTAGCAAATCTCTTTCAGGATGAACAAAGAAATTACTCCTGAGGCTTCGGGCTAAATATTAAAATTCAAATACGGAATATGTAGTGAAATGAATAATGAAAAGTTTAATTCCAATTTTGAATTCATTCACTGAATTCATTTCATTTCATTTTTCAAAAAAAAAAAGTTTAAATAAAAAAGAAAAAACAAATCATCTAGAAAACAAAGCTAAAATCCCAAACACATCAGAATTTAAGATATGTGAGGCAGGAGGAGGAAGAGAGATTTAAAACATTTTATTCCCAGATGCCGTTCTCGACGGCCTCTCAGAGCACATCTGAACTAGCTGCAAATTTAGAAGCTTTTAGCCTCTATTGTTGTTTGGCCCTGGGGTTTGGAATTAGCTAGGTATACATCTGAGCCCCCCGACCTTTGACCTGGGAATGTGGAGAAGGGGGATGGGCCCCCTTTGCTAATGCAAATCAGGCGCCGTAACAATAGCCATGGCGAAGCACAGAGCACTCCACAACACGATCTTCAAGAATACGGCTCCAACCCGAATCATTGTTCACATCAACCCCTCTCAATGCAGAATAAGGCGAAGAAGTTAAACATCAGAATAATTCTGGGAGAAACAGCTTTAAATGGCATCTCATATTTAATCTTTCGCTGACCTAGATTACACAGGCTGCACAGTCTGTCTCTGAGCAGCTTAACAGAGCACCATCCGCTCCATTTTGGTATGCATTTCCAATGCAAACTCATTCAAACCAATTCAAATAATAAGTGAATTTGTGTCAAATAACCAACAGCCTCGATGTCTGACCTCCACTCCCTGCTGTAAGTGTTCATCTGACTATTGTGAGCTTTCAAATTTACATTTAAATACATGAATGTAATACATTTTACTTAAATGCAGTCTAATACTTGCTTCACATTACATTAAAGTGATTCATAATGACTGAAATTGTTTTAATTGTTTTGTTACACAAAATACAATAGCAAAATAATACAAAAAATATATATAAACAAAAAAATGCATGTGATTCCACACTTTACAATGAAATTGTGACTTAATATGTAAGTTGGTAAGCTTGCAGAATAGCAAAAATAAAAAATTATGTTTCAGAAGAATTTACATTTTTTTCATTTCAAGGGGATAAAAAAGACATAAAAATGTATTTTATTTAAATTAAAAATATCACCACTAGAAAATAACTTAAGCAGAATTATTAAATAATGAAGACAAAAAAGGTTCAGAACACACAATGAAATATAAATGAAACATATGAAAATAAATAAATGTAAATTCTTCCAACAAACATCAAAAACTGAAAAATACGACGAAACATTTAAAGAAATGTTAAATCGACAGAGCCATTTTAATGACCCGGTTCACACATAACAAATAAGGCAAGCTATCGCTGATTAAGATGGCTGCACAGAGGCTGCGTGTTCGAAAAATATTTCACACTATGAGGTCTGCTGGATTAGAGTTATTAGTACACCTCCCGTTATTATAGTAAGAAGAAAAAAATACAGACAGAGGCACAATCAAACATTTTTTCCACTCAGTACAGATCGTCTTCTGCCGTTATGTACACATTTATTGATATGAAGCCATGTTACAGGGCCTACGCTTAATTGAATTAGATGGGAAGGCAAAGAGGGCTAATAATGCTACATGTTTCATTCGGTATGGCTGCGTATAGAAAATTAGTGGAACAAATGACTACACTACCTATCAATACTGATTAAATGTACTTTGTGGAACTAATGGCCATGACGGACGCTTTTCTATGAATATATACTATATCACTTTGAGTGATAAAAGGCACTTTTCTCCCTCCCGTGGCTTTAAAAGCTTTGTGGGATATGAAAATTGTGTGTGAGAGGGGCGGCACAGGGTGACGGTGGCTCGTGTAATTTAAACTAAAATAATCACAGCGGTGCGTATTTCGGATAAACAAGAGTTTTGGTTTTGTGCATTTACCTCATAGTCTGAAGTCGTAAGGAGGGGGGTATCAATCACACATGGCAGGAAGTGAGGTAGATTTGGAGGCTGCCTTACCTTCTTTTCCTTGTCATGGTGCTTATCCAAAGAGTGAGTGGAAGAATACACTACTACTTCCTAGATAAAAGCGTCTGCTAAATGACTAAATAAATAAATTAATTAAAAATAAATAAGAATCACTTAAGCTTTGAGCCCTACTACCACGGCCTTTGCTCCTTCTCTAAAAGGTGAAAGAGGAACTTCGAGTTACATTTAAAGTCTGTTCAATTATCTTTTGTTCCTATTTCCTACTTCTCTCTTTTTTAGCAACAATGAAAATAGCCCTTACTGAGACAAAGGAAACAAATAGAAGACAATAACGGAAAAAAGAAGGAAAAACACATTGTCATGATAACCAATCAGGATATTTTTCTATTTTGGGAAGCTACTCTGTCAAAAAGCAACTTGCATTAGAATATTTCGGGTGGTTTGCTTATTTTAACGGTATGGCAGCATCCAAGGCTATTTTACTTACAGGAATATAGTTTGGGAAAGCCACAGTACACTTTTAAACTTTCAATATTTGATGTCTCTATTTAAAAAAAAAATCAACAACATTCTCTTACCAACAGAAACAGCTGATCTTATATAAAAGGCTGATATATAAAAATGTGCCATTATATGAAACCAACATTCAAACTGACCAACTATAGATATATTCTCACAACACAATTTAAATTCTTCCTAATATTTTTCTCCATTTATTTAAAACAATCTTAGTAAAGTATGCCTCATTTCTTTTGAAGTCAATGGTCACTAATGCTGCTATTGTCGACAAATGCCACATAAAAACCTCAGGTTACAGAATGGTCTTTGTTTATCAGCAGCCCACTGAAACAAAGGCCTACATGGAAAAGTCAGGGGTTAGTAGCCAGCTACTGAACTATTAAACCAAGAGACTGTGCTGACGCTGTCAGTCCATTAACATGGTGACAGGGAGACATGGTACATCCTGCAGAAACATCATGCTGTCATGTATAATGGATGACAACAAACAAAACAAGCAATGTGCTGTCACTTTATTCTGACCAAAAAAAAAAAAAAATGGTAGATGACAAAAATATTTAAATATCTTAATTATATTCATATAAATGAACACTACCGTTTAAAAGCTTGTAGCCATTTTAAACTTTTAAATTGTTTAGAAGCCTCATTATATGATCAAATATACAGTAAAAACATGAATATTGTGAAATATTACAATTTAATATTACTTTTTTCCCATTTAATATATTATCAAATGTAATTTACTCCTGTAATGGCAAAGCTGAATTTTCTTTAGTGTCACATGATCCTTCAGAAATCATTCTAATATTCTGATTTGGTGCTCAATAAACATTTTTGTGCCGAACTGTGTGATATTGTTTCAGCATTCTTTTGATCAATTTATTACCCCCTTCTGAAAGTATACATTTTTCAAAAAAAACAAAAACAACTTTTGTACGATATTGTACATTTACAATTTTTTTAATCAATTATATAAATATTCATATATCTGAGCCAACAACGATGCTAAAAAGCCAAATTAAAAATATGAAAAACAAATCTGTAAAATATAAATAAATACATAAAATCACAACACAAGAAAAAAAAATGTAATACTCCAGCATCTATCAGAGTAATCATAAATGCCTGAATTTAATAAAACGGTGTATACATAAATAAACAACACTATCCCTCCATCCTCAACTCATTAGAATCCCCTATGAGAACATCACAAAGCGCCGGCCCTGCCTCCGGCCCCTCACTCAGAAGACCTGTAGAGGACTAGCAGTATCAAGAAGCCTTTGTTGAGTGGGAGAATAGACACACACACAGCACAAATCTGAGAAGCAGCAGGGGGCTGTGGCTCTAAAGCTCAGCGTAGCTCTAGGGCTGGAGTGAGTAAAACCCTTGCCACACATACACACACACACACACACGCACGCACGAACACCCAAGTCCACAAGTACACTGATAACCGAGCAAAGCTGGACAGAAAACCACAGGCCGTTATGCTGTAAGGAGAGGAAAGGAGAACCACAGACCAAGGTCCAGTGAGTTGCTGTTGATTATCAACGAGATTAAGGGGTTAAAGGGTTTGAGGGAGATTGAGGTGGGGGCGGCAGGGGCCACTGGGGGTGGACGGAGGGGCTTATGCCACAGCTCAGCTTTCAGCAGCTGTAATTGGACCTGTAATGCGAGACATTCGAGAAATGAGAGATATTCCAGATGAGTGTCTTTTTCGAAAGCCTGTTGCATTCACGTGCGATTCTGAATGTGCAATAACAGCTTGAACTATGATGACATGGTCACAGTGATGTGATCGACATGATTCAGGTACTGGCAAATGTAAAAATCAGTCGCTTGAGTGCATCGGAAATGCATTAGAGACATGAAGTATACCTCAGTATATGAAGCACTAATGGCAAAATACACAAACTATGACCATCAAATACTAACTCAGTAGTAAAGCACGTCATTTATGGGAAAAACAACATATACACTCATGTTTGCGGAGTCTGGGATCTGCAGGAATTTTTAAATGTTTTTGAAATAACAAGGATGCATTTATTTAAAGGGGTCATATGATGCGATTAAAATTTTTCCTTTCTCTTTGGAGTGTTACAAGCTCTTGGTGCATAAAGAAGATCTGTAAAGTTGCAAAGACTAAAGTCTCAAATCCAAAGAGATATTCTTTATAAAAGTTAAGAGTCAACCATGCCTACCTAAAATGGCTCGTTCTAACATGCCCCCACATATCTACGTCACGATGTGGGAAGATCTGCATAACACCGCCCAAATGTTCACGCAAAGAAAGAAGGCGTAACTTTTATTCTCGCTGTAGTATTGTTGCCGCCGCCACCTCCATGGGTTTTTGTTAAATGTGAGCCAAAATCATCACAATTAAAAGAACCAAAGACTTAAACTACTTCAGTCTGTGTGAATTGAATTTATTTAATACACGAGTTTCACAATTTGAGTTGAATTACTGAAATAAATTAACTTTTATTTCAGTAACACGACATTCTAATTTATTGAGATGCACCTGTAATTGCTTTTTATTTTAATGTATTAAATATAATTTATTCTTGTGATGCAAAGCTGAATTTTAAGAAGCCATTACTCAGTATTCAGTGCATCATGACCTTTCAGAAATCTTTCTAATGAGCTGATTTGGTTCTCAAGAAACATTTCTTATTATTAATTACAGTTGAAAAGTTGTGCTGTTTAATATTTTTATGGAAACCGTAGCTTTTTTTTCAGGATTCTTTGAGGAATAGAAAGCTCAAAAGAACAGCATTTATTTTAAATGCTAAAGTTTTAAATGTCTTTACTGCCACTTTTGATAAATTTAATGCACCCTTGCTGAATAAAAGTATACTTTATTTAAAAAAAGAATCATACTGACCCCAAATTTTTGAACAATAGAGCATCTATATCTACACATCTTTGTGAAAGCCACAAGATACTATACATATTATATATACTATACATTTACATAAACGGTACCGCAACTTTTTATTTATATTCAGCCTGGACATCATTAATGCCTTAATTTAAAATGACATAATTTCTCTAATGTCATCAATCAAAAGCATAAAAGCTGTGGGATCCACACCAGCGGGGCTTTGTGCCATGGTGTTATAGTTAGTACAGTATGGTTTTAAAAAAGCAGATTCTTACCAGTTTACTGTAATGGTACTTGCAGTATCCACAGTATTTCACATTATCAGCATCTGAGCCCTGTTCTTCACACAACAACCCAGCAAACTGAGCGCTATATTCAAAGAGAGAGAAAAAGCAACTTTAGAAAGATTGTACACAATGCATATTAAAAATTTGTAATATTTAACTATTTTTATATTAATTAAAACTATTATTATATCAGTTTCAATAAATTACAGGGAAGTCTGTTGCATTTAACATGTCTTCCTATCCATTTAACAGATGGCATTATTAAGGACATTAACATGCTTATGAGGACGTTTAGCTGGAATATTAGGGCTTTGCAACTCACCATGTGACATGAAAGGCTTGTCGGCAGCCATGTTTGTTGCATGTCATGCAGGCTCCAGAAGCAGCTTTGCTCTCACGGCCCTGTTCCTCACAGATGTAGCATGTCTAGATAGAAAAAAAAAACAGTCACCAAAGTGACTCTTCACATATAGAAAGCAGTTATTATGGTATATAATCATTGCTGCATGGCCCACAGCTTGTTTTAGCGTGAAGGCTCTACCAATTTAACAAGTCTCTCAAAAGCCGCCCTTCCCAGCGCCTCGATTATTAGGCAAGTGATAACCATGCCATTTTAAATTGGCTCACAGTGAGGACTCAATTACCAACAGAGCCGAATCTATTTTATCCCAGATTTTAAACCCACTATTTCAAGCATGAGATTAAACTTGGCTCCTTAGTCCTGCAAGTCATCAGACACACTACTGAATCCAAATCATATAACACTAACTGATTGTATTTTACTTATCTACTGTGTTGAAGGGCATCCATAGAAAACAAAACATAATTAGATTTTCAAATGAAAAATGAAAGAATGGTGTCATGATGGCATATCCCATTAGTACTTGATTGAACATTGTTTTCTTTACCCTCACGGTTGAGCGAAAAAGTTTTAAGCTAACATCTAAACATTTGGACTTTGCAATTACTCTTGAGTTACGGTGATGCACAGGAATCCAACCAGCAGTAGTAAAAACCTACACCTGCAAGTATTTAATATACAATTTAATATTCACTCTAACAATTTCCATGACTTTTAATACTTTTTCAGGCTTGGAATTGACAACTTTAAAAATTCTCTGGTATTTGAGGATATCCATTGACAAATAAATTTGGTTGGTTCTTTTAAAATTCAGACCGTAAGTATAAATTCCCATAACATGGATCTCAGTTTTCATTCATTCAGCTTTGGTGCAGAATTAATGGCAACATTCTATGTTTATCTAAGATTGATAAATGTAGCACTTAGTCCCTTAAGAAAACACATTCACAGTATAGACCTAAACTCCTTACATGTATACGGTTTACATGGTTGAGCTGATTTATGAGGCTCTTATGTTGAGCCTTTGCTTTCCTATTGTTATCCAGGCTATCAGTGTGTGTCTTTCAGTGGACAGGGAACTTACCTTACTATAACGTTCATGAGGGACAGACTGAAGCACAATGGGCTCCATGGTGGATACGTTGGCGAACTCCACTTCTGGGATGTAAAGAGCACAAACCACATGGGCCCAACCTAAACAAGACACAATGACATATGATCAGTAGATGTTAAATAAAGAGGCTAAGACTGAATTATTCCTTTATTTCTATGCAAACTTGCTGTGAAGATGGAACTGGGTTTAACAGCATAAAAAAAAAAAAAACTGGCTAAATTTATTAAGATTATTATAAATGGATAAGCGAAACCATTTTTTTTTACTTAATTTGACAAATTACTTAAATATAATTTAGTGATTTTTCATATAAAACAACTGAATAATTTAAAATTATTATTATTATTATTATTAATAAAAAATATTTAAATAAATTGTTGTTGTTTTAGTTATTATTTTTATTCATATTTTTTTTATTAAAATTTAGATGTTAAAAGATGGATAATGCCAAATAGGAGGCACTTATATTTAAGACATTATCTGTTTTTTTTGTTTGTTTTTTTTCAAATTTATTCGAGACCATGGTCATTTGTTTGCTCATAGTCCTGCCTATGGGGCATGCCTGGCTTCCGCCACAGTGTGAAAAACACTTATTAAAGCATGTGGGCTGAGTGTGAATGCAAAGACGAAAGACCCAGAACTGGAAGAGGCAGAGGCATATTCTCTCCTGCTTAGCGTCTAGACCAAGTGTTGAACCATAGGGTGTCAGTCACAAGCACACTACACAAATATAATATAATTATTTCAGGCTACTACTAAACCTTTTCTCCCACATCAGCTGCCTTTTAACCACAAAACCCCCAAACTGCGAGGATTTAAATTGAATGACCATATTCTGTGATATGTTTGTTAGAGGAGAGCAGATGCTATTGATATCAAGCTGAAATTAACCTTAAAGAAATAAGCAAATGAGTTCTGTTTAACCAGCGTAAGAGCACAATAACAGGTCTAAACTTAAAGGTGAACCCATGAACTGTCTTTGACCCCAGCCTAAAGGGATAGGGAGGTGGGTTTTGTTGTTTTGAAGTCCATCCAAGAATCCAGCAGAAGCCTATAAAACCAGGCAATAAAACCCAAGCACACCCCAAAGAACTTCTAAACCCCTCAGACAGAAGGGTGGCACACTTAAAAAGAGAATGATTTGCCAAAGATGTCTTTTAGAGCATAAAATACTCAAATATTCATATTCTAGTTAGTCAGAATAACTGAAAACCTTTGGACTAAAGCAACAATTAAAAAAACTGAAAGGAACTACCAGGGAGGCTGATCTATAGTATGAACTCTTCAGAAGGCTCCCTGTGAAGGAAAGAGGGTGGGTTTTTTCAGTTTTAATTTTCCTTGCATGTGTTTCAACATGTTGTTAGGCCAGGTATATTCCATGTTTTCATTTGGGATTATTCTTGTGTTTGCATAACTTAGCAGAAGTAACACCTGTAAAAACCTCTCCATGTGCTGGTCTGGTCACTACTGCTGAGTTTCACTCCTCAGTTGGCCGAAATGTATAGATATCTTAAAAGCAACTCACGAACACCTACATCTCAGAAATCTTCACTCCTACTTATAAATAATGGCAAAACGTGGAATGTTTATCTCAAAGAATTTCAAAAGGTTTTACAAATTCAGAGCAAAAAAAGAGATTACACTGTCTGAAACATTTAAACCATAAGCCTGGGGCAATGATGTTTCCCTCATGGCCGTTAAAAAGCTCACCAGCCCTAAAGATGGGGCATGGTCCCGCAGTTGTGTCCCATGCCATGTTTACAGTCTCTGAGCTGCCCTTGCCGTGAACCCGGAGCATGAAGAAGAGGAGACTCCTTTCAGCCCCATAATGACCCCGCTGAGACCGCCCACCCATAAAAACAAGGTGAGAGATAAACACCCACACTTCCTAACCCCCTTTGCTCAATTACTTAAAAAATAAACAGACAAAATCTGCAAATTATGTGCGAAAAAATGATATAAAACTCTTGGTTAATTAGAAAACAGCAGTGTTTCCCACATATAGACTTTACTTGGGCGGGCCGCCCAGGTATATTTGGAGAAAGATTTTTGCTTTTATTATTTTTATCCTCTTATACTTTTTTTTATCCGCCCGAAATAATGAAACCATCCGTGATCGAAAACTAGTGGAAGAACATAAATCGCGATACAGCCTATTTATTATTAACCTTCAAAAAGCTATGATTTCATTAAAAAACTCGAACTCGAGTTGATGAATTATGACAATATCTACTTTATGGCCCTTTTTATAATATGCTTTAGACGGTTGTAAGAATGCTTATTTTATCTCTCATCTGAAGGAACAGCCCGCAATAGTGTAGACATTTCAAAATAAGAGTCCCGGTGTATTTCGGGATTTTTAATAATTACTTTTTTTTTATTTTTCTGGGCATTATTGGTATTTTGGTTACACAATAAATTGTATTTAATTTAATTTCCATTTAATTCATATTGAACTATTGTAGTTTCTGGCTGGGATGCTTCCACAAAGGAAGAAAAGACAAAGAACATTATTTGACACATTATTCAATATATAGATTTTACTAGTATTAGTCAAATCTGTGTCCCACTCACTGAGAGAGCAAAGCAAGGAGAAAACTCTACCATTTAAATGCTGTAATTTTGCATAATTTACAATGCATAATAATGCATCATATGAGTACGTAATTAAATGCAATAGTAGCCTATGTAATTAAAATGAATTTCAATAAATAAAAATATTGTTAAAAACCTCACATTATTTGTCACTTGTCACATGTAGTAGACCATTTTTGTGCCGTGGGTAATAGGAGGATTTTCCACCCGGCTACCACCGCAAGTATATTTCAAACCTGTGGGAAGCACTAGGGCTGGGTATCGTTCAAAAATGTTCGATATCGATACCGATACCGGTTCGTGAACGATACTTTTTTCGATACCAATTTTATGAAATCAATTTTAACAAGATTACATTATCTAAAAAAAAAAAAAACTTTGGTTTTATTTTTCAGCTTGTTGATGACTCATCTCCTGAGCCAATGCACAAAGGAACAAAATGTAACCAACACAATAAATCAGTGCAAAATAGTTTTAATAAAGCTCAAATAGTCTTCAGTTTACACATCTGTTAGGCTACATTTACACTAGTTAGTGTTCGTTTTAAAACGCATAGCTCAGACAGAATCATATTTTCCACTGATTTACTGATGAGCATTAGCAGCTTCCAGCACTGCCTGCCTGTGTTCTCCCTTCTCCCCTGATCGCTGCTCTGACTCAGAGGTAATAACATATTTAATTTCAGCAACATTACATGGCCAAAACACACATTAGACGGCAATCGGAAGTTAGGCTTATTACAAACACTCGATGGTGGTTTAAAGTGAGTTTTGAGTAAAAGTGGAATATAAACCTTATTTATTGTCTTATGTAGCATGATGCTACAGTTTGCATGAATGGTCACATAAAACGCGCTTTCGGTCGTGTAACGTTAGTATGAACGGACATCTGCATATGATCGGAACTCCACGCAGCTGCCGCGCTACTCTATACTTGTGGTATTACAGTACCACGAGAGCTAAAGAGAGCAGACTGCTCCGTGCGCTTTCGAATCGCTCTCGCAGATGATCGATCTGCGCCGCACCGCTTCAAGTCGAACACACCGGCTAGTGCTGCAGGCTTATTGGCTCACTGACGCTGATGAGATTAACCCCTTAGGTATCGAAATTTGGTACCAAACGACGAGACGTTTTTCGATACTCGATGGCATCGAGGCAATTCGGTCGGTACCTAAAAAGTGTCAAACTCGATACCCAGCCCTAGGAAGCACTGAACAGTTTAGGTGCATTTTATAAAAAGAAATGTTAAAAAATACGATTGAACTCTTAATGCATTTATTCATCACAATATTTTCCTGAAACCCAAATAAAATTAAATTAAATTTGTTGAGGTGAGATGAAGATATTTTTGACTAATTAACAGCTTATTGATGAGATATGGTATTAAACCCTTTTTACAGCAACGTCTCTGTGATAATTAAAACTGGATAGCAGTGAAATACTCCATACAAGAGGAAATCAATGCACTGCATTGTTTTGTTTTTTTTACAATGACTTTCATTAGTCGAGTAAAAATAGAAAGGTGTCATCCTCATCAGAGCATATGTTCCTCTCAAGAGCTTTCATCATTTTATCACCTCTGGGCTGACTTACCCCATTTGAAAACAATGACAATTTTCTTGTTGTGGAGGTAATAATAAACGTCCCACATAATTGTTAACCCATCAAATGGTTTATTTTTCAAAGATTTTATCAAATATTTTATCTGTTAAACACACTCAACCATCAAAACCTTAAAGCAAAATACAGAGCAGTACAAAACCGTGCACAGCATCACATATGTGTTACCAATGGCTGCGGTGTCTAACATCCTTTACGCTACTGGCCTATATTTAGCTACAGAGTGACTGCAGTCTATTCTTGTCTACAACATTTAGAGTAGGCCTAATGCTAGAGATGTTTTTCCTCAGAACAAGTGCAAAATACAAACAGTCAGCATAAAGTTAGATGTCTTACCTCCATTATCTGTTCGTTTCAGTGCTCCATCTTTGTGGGGACACAGCTCGCACCTCTGTGAAAAGAAGAGAAATACATGAATCCACACTCCATCTGACCATCTGCAGACCAGACACAGCTCTGAAGGCTTTCAGGAACTCTACTTCTGACATGGACGTCAAATTAAAGCAGAGTTTAAGGGTTAGACATCATTTTTTTCCCTTTAAACTAGAGAACAGAGCATCAATGAAACTGTAGACAAAAGCCTTTGATAGTTGACTGGAGCGGGAAAACATCCCTGAAGAGCTGCTTCTGTATTCAAGAATAAAATAGGACCTGTTCTGCTATAGGAGAAAAACAGGTTTAGACAACATTTTTCTGAAATGAATGACAGGACAAGAAAATAAAACAGTGTGAATATGAGATGAATTATTGAATAAAGACAGCTACTACCCCTTTTGAACAACAAAAACAATAGAGAGGGTTGAAAGTGTCCTCAAGAAATGGGCACTGACACATGGTCTATTACACAGCATATCATGCATAAATACTATGACATTTCACTCATCTTTAAAGCCTTGAATAGGGTTAGATATTGGGGCAAAACATTGTGCTTGGAACCATGCCGTTACTTGCCACATACCACTATGTTCAAAGTTTTTAAACTTCTGCTCAGTCTGCTGTCCTCATCCTCTTTGTTACAGGTGGTGGACAGTCCTCCTTCTTCAGGGGTCTGCCAGCTCGGCTTTCTCCCCCTCCACCCTTTAATCTTTGGGAATAAAGTGGCAGAGCAGGGCACAAATGGGGAAAAAATTGGCTTATTTGTAGTAAGTGGAGGAATGAGGACAAATGTAGAAATTTGGTTTCATAATTACGCTTTGGGAATACAAAAAAAGGCTTAAAGTTTTAAAAATGCTCCAGTAAGAAATCTTTCTGATAGTGCAAGCTATGATTTTCACAAATCTTGGCTAGAAGCGGCAAAAAGGCCACAAAAATATTACATGACAAACCAGTGGATAATAATAGGGAAGTCCTGTTTATTTTCAGACTGAGAGCAGTTGGCATTGAAAAATGTAATGAGCTGTAACAAGTTTCCCCTTCTTGTGACTAGGGTTGGGTATCATTTGTTTTGTTTTTTACGATACCGGTGCCAAATCAATACTTTTAAAATGGTACCGGTGCCTAAATGGTGCCTGAACCAATACATTAAAAAAAGAGCCACAAAACAACAGTGGATGACATTAAAGTAGGACTGCACAATTTACAAATTAACAAAAAAACAACAACTTCTGTACACTTACAAAAAGTGTGGATTATCATGCGTTTAATTGAAATTTCTTCCCTATTTTTACCCCAAATAGGATAGAATAAGCATTACTGAGTGCTAGCACACTATCTGTTTCATTCATACTCGTAGCCAGGCGGCACCCTCACGCAGAAACCCCAAACATGCATCACAGAAGTAATAAAACTCATGAAGTTCCTGGAAATGCCTAATATGGACAAAGGCATCCAGCCATCGCTGTAGCTGAGTAAAAAGAAGATAGAAATGCTTTGATGATGAAACATGAGGACAATAAACACACAACTGTGACAATATATGGTTTATGGTGCGTCAAGCCATCTCTGGTATTTTCATAATAAAAAAGGATATTTATAATCCAATGCTAATTAGTGGTCGACCGATATATCGGCCGATATCTGCCATTTTCACCTCGCTTTTCAGACCGATGAGCTTTGTAAAAATCGACGCGTTTCAGAAAGGCGGGGCATAGAGGAGAAACAATAATGTACAGTATGTGGAAAATGTGTTTTTTGAACCTTAAACCGCATAAACACATTTCAATACACCAAATACACAAAATAATGTTCTTTTTAGCAACATCATATGACCCCTTTAAATAATGCATAAAATTTTGGTTTGTTTTCACCAAACTTTTATATCCCCAAAACACTCAGACTAAAAGGCATGTGTCGCATGGGACCATTCTGTGATACTTTTGGGTCGCTATTCATTGATATTTTATGGATGAGTGTGAGAGGGACAATTCTTAAAATTTCTCCTTTTGTGGTCTGAAAAAGAAAGATGAACACAAGGGTGAGTAAATTAAGACTTATTTTTTCATTTTTGGGTGAACTAGCAATAGCTCATGGACAAAACTTCAGAAAGGATGAAGTTTGTCCATGCATACTTTGAACTGTCTGATCACAGGGAATTTCACTGAATGCCTGTCTGGCCTTCTACCCTGTTTATTATAATATGTCCCTCATGCTGGCTACCAAAGCTTTTGAAGTGAAATCTGTAAGACCAGTTCAAAGTATCAATTATAAATAATATCATCTGTCAAATGGAAACTGCAAACAAACCCACAATATACAAAAGTGGAAGGAGATCTGGACTTCAGCAAAACAGATAGCCTGAAAGATTTATATAAAGATGAGGAAACTCACCACCCTGGCAGCACGTTCCTGTGATTCACATTTCCTGCAGAACCAGGGGCCTGTGGGGACTTGGACAATACCATAGCAGGCTGAAACAACAGGAATGAAGGACAGATGAGTTGAAGGGACTTGCTTCCAACTAGTGGTCGACCAATATTGTTTTTTTTGACAGCCAATGCTGCTATCTTAGAGAGCAGGGTGGCCGATGGCCGATATATATGTGTATGTGTGTGTGTGTGTGTGTATGTATGTATATATAAGATATATAGATATATAGAGAGAGAAATAGATAGATAGATAGATAGATAGATAGATAGATAGATAGATAGATAGATAGATAGATAGATAGATAGATAGATAGATAGATAGATAGATAGATAGATAGATAGATAGATAGATAGATAGATAGATAGATAGATAGATAGATAGAAAAATAAATGTGTCAAATAAACATATTTTAGATGGCACTCAGTAATCTGGGATGTTAGTTTTTTTTAATAAAGCCAAGGTAACACCTACAGCACACTGTGAAAATGCCATGAATATGACAGTGGGCAAATAGATAAAGTGCAGCATAGTTTGAAATCACAAGTTTAATGTTTGTCGATCGCGTATCTCGGACTTCAATCCGTATCAGACAAAAAAAAAGTCCCGCCTCGAACACGTCGGCAATACAGAAAAAATTATCGGCAGATGCCGATAATGGTCGACCACTAATTCTATGGCGTTATTTTAATGACAAATGTCAAGAGCGTATTGTAGTGCGAAAGCACATTAATATAATGCGCGAGCGCGAATCTCTCTGCTCTCGCACAAAAAAAAATATTTCATATCTATAGTGCATGAGCACAGAGATTTGAGAGTGCACAGGGCACAGTTTGAGTGAGAGGAGAGACACGTTTTAAGTGCATCTGGTTTTGTGCGAGAGCAAAAGAAATCCGCACGCAAGCGGAGAGATTCTCGCTCGCGCATTATATTAATGTGCTTTCGCGCTACAATAATACGCTCTCGACATGTGTCATTAAATAATGCCATATAATTCCAACTACTGTAAATCTAACAGCTTGATTGTATGGTCCTGTCAGGTTTCAAGATTAAAATGCGAGTGTTAAAAATTATATTTTAAGGAATGTGTCAGATGTATTCCTAGTGCAAAAACATCAGGGCATTAAATTAACACCAATCATCAGTCAAATGTGGGTAATTTTTGCACAGTTGTGGGTAACTCATGCAGGAAATGCTGTTGCCTAACTGCAAAAACACATGCACTTGAAAAAAAAAAGTTTGATTATATCTTAGTGAACAGACAAAACAAAATGCAGCATGAGCACTTTGCAGAACAAAAGCGTTGTGGGAAGTGTTCTTGTGTCACCGATCCCACAGAATTTGGTCCTATACATCAATATTCCAAATGAGTTTATTTTGTTTTTATCTACAGTGAGGTTCACTAGTGATTAGGGATGCACCGAAATTTCGGCCGCTGAAAATGGCGTTTTCAGCCGAAAGAGAAAAACGGCCGAAAATATATGGTGCGCAGGTTTCACTCTCCATCTAGCCGTCGTCACTGCACGGTGTGACGCTCCAATATTCTGCTCTATGAATGTGCGTTCCGCCAAAGACCATAGAATACCCAAGACCTGTCACTCGTATAGTTTTAAATGGGGAGAAATGTAATGCTTAATATGGCCGCTCTATAGAACGAAGCCCTTCCTTCTGAGTAAAAGAGCCAATCGCTAATCTGTAAAGTCGGCGCATCACTGCAGCTGCCGTTAGAAGTCCCGGTTGCTATAGAAACAGTCATCGTTCTGAGACGTGCGCTCAGGACTGCGCATGCGCACTGGCTGGTCTAGCCTGGAAAATTGCCTTTTTTTTAACACTATTTGAGCAAAAGAAACAACATTTATGACACCGTTCTTGTCAGATTTCATTGGTGATTTCAAATACGAAATTTAAGCTTAAACTTGGCTAACAGTTTTGGAGAATTTGATGTTTCCCCATTCAAAGAGATAGGAGCTGCACTTGCATGCCCCAGAGGCATTTCAAAGATGGCCGCCGAGTGACATGACTTGTCTTAAAGGGACTTTGATTCCGCTCATGTACCGCTCATGCTCACCGAAAAAGCATAGGCCGCTCAAACAACGCTCCGGCAGGAAATTTCTATGTAGTATACTTGTTCCTGTTTGCAATAGCGCTACTGTGCTGTAACATGGTGTAGGACTGCTGAACTGGGCAAATGACGCTACTCTCTCGTGACGCTATGCTCTGCTCACATGCTCTGATAATAATAACAGCTTTGTAGGATTATACATTATTTGGATAATTAGTAAAAAAAAAAAAAAAAAACAGTTCTACCAGATTCTGTTGCATAGAACTGAATAAAGATAATATATTGATATTTAATATATATATATTTTCTGTTCAATTTTATTGTGTTACTTTCAATAAAAGTGTGGTTATTTTATTGGTTTGTGTTTTTTGATTCAGTGTCATTAAAATTATTGAGTTAAATTAAAAAGTCTTACAAAATGACTTTATATTATTTAATAAAATAATAAATAATTATTACAAAGTATTTTCGGTTTCGGTTTCCGGCCAAGTGCATCCAGAATTTTCGGTTTCGGCACAGAATTTTAATTTCGGTGCATCCCTACTCATAATGGGTATTTTGTCATTTTGGGGTCAACCTGAACTAAGTTCTAAACAGACAACAGTGTGAATGAAAAGTTAAGTGGACCAAAAAGAGAGTCAACTTCACTATCAAGGCCAGGGAAGAGTGCAAAGAGAATCTTTTTTGGTCCACTACTTACAAAGGTCTTTGCATGTTTATTCAATTTTACATATTTAAAAAATATATATTTTATATATCTGAGCTGGAAATATAAAAATAGAAAAAAAAAATATTTTAGTGGGAAAGAAGTAATTTCACACCCTGAATAAAATAATTTACATACATGTAAGAATTCCTATCTTTGCTTTATAGTTATTTTTGTGCAAATGCAAATAAATGTATGTTTCCACTTATCAGAAAAGATCAATGACAGACAACAAACTAAGCAAATGTTTTGATGTCAAGGTCCCAATAGTCAGCCAATATAAAAACATTACAAAAAATATCTTTACCACAAGCTTGTCCAAACACCAACATAACATCTGTCTACAAGTCTATAGGTGACAACTTGACCCATTAGTACTGGACCATCTTCTGTGACCTACAAAACAGATCCTGAAGAACGAAATGACAGCTGACACCAATTCTAGGATATTATGATCCAAACTGTTGATATCAGGTACTCACATAGTGTGAAGGGCAAAATAAATTTGAATCAAAGTTAATCATTGTATGAATGATAAAACATTTCTTATAAGAATTTAACACACCGAAATCATGCCATGACTTCAATGACAGGTTTTATTAATAATCAGATTTCTTCTTTACATCTGAAACCAGATAAAAGTTAACTTTGCATTTGTTTGCTTCATTTTTCTCTTTCACTTGTCTGCACCAATGAGTCTCCTACAAGCACAAACTTCTTGGAACCAAGATACTTATGTATGTGAACTATTTATGTGAATTGTGAACATTTGAAGCATCATACAACCTAAAATAACACAAGACAAATAACTACATGCAGAGAAAACAATCAAGAGCCTGTTAAAGGGGTCATATGATGCTATTTCAATTTTTCCTTTCTCTTTGAAGTGTTACAAGCTCTTGGTGCATAAAGAAGATCTGTAAAGTTGCAAAGACTAAAGTCTCAAATCCAAAGATATATTCTTTATAAAAGTTAGTCAACCACGCCTACCTAAAACGGCTCATTCTAACACGCCCCCACATGTCTACATCACGATGTGGGAAGATTTGCATAACCAAATGTTCACGCAAAGAAAGAAGGCGTAACTTTTATTCTCGCTGTAGTATTGTTGCTGCCACCAGGTCGTGAAGACGCTGTGTGTGTCGTTGTGAAAACGAAACGACTTTGTTTGGCCTTCCAAAAGAGGACGATATCCGCTTCGTCATGCCTGGAGCTGATCCGTGCTGGTCGCTGAGGAAATACATTAACTTCACACTGTGGATCGCCGGATCGGCTTTCACCGTGGACGAAGCGGAGTCCAGCCCGGGGTCGTCACATGTGGTTGCCGCAAGCCCGCCGGCCGCTCCTTCGTCGAATCCGCCGGCCGCCGCTCACTCTAGCCCACTGTGTGTTTCGTTGTGAAAGCGAAACTACTTTGTTTGGCCTTCCAAAAGAGGACACGACTAGAAATCGGTGGTTAAGTTGTATTTACAACACTGTTCCAGAACAGTTCATAGAGGAGAAACAATAATGTACAGTATGTGGAAAATAATGTGTTTTTTTAACCTTAAACCGAATAAACACATTTCATTACACCAAATACACAAAATAATGTTCTTTTTAGCAGCATCATATGACCCCTTTAAGAGTCCAGGTGTCGTGCCGAAAACTGATTGCCATCCGATTCCGTCCGTTTTATGCTTGCCAAAAAGTGATTACAGACTCTACTTATTTTGAGTGAACTGTTATTATTTCTGCATCAAAATGACTTGATTTCATTCATTGTTGTTATATTTGATAGATCATATATCTCATTCAGTCCTTTTTACCGTTCTTCCCGAGTCACATTAAAGATTCGTTCAAAACGAACGAATCGTTCAAGAACGACCCAACACTACTGACTAACGTTAGCCACAAATGAGTGTTATCAGCCATGCTGTTACAACCGTGCAGCGCGCGTGCTAACACAACATTAGCACTCCAAAGGGCCTTCGGAAAACCGTTGCTTCACAACAACCGACACACCTTAAAACACCAAGAATTAATCGTTAAAATATTCTACATTTCTTAACTGTCATCTCAGTAACACAAACCCACTCCAGCGGTTAAACTTAGGTCACACTGACTGTTCGGTGGAGCTAAGCTAGGCTATGTTGTGCTAAGCTAATTCTCTAACCACAACAGAAGCGAACTTATCAAAACATCAGCCTGAAATTACCCGTCCTTCAAGAAAAATAACAGTCTATGTCGAGACGTTTATATTTACCTTGGTGGACGGCAACGTTACAGCCGTGACCGTCGCAGTAGACTAGGGGATTTTCGGCCCAACCTCTCTCATCCGAGCAGACGCAGCAGCCTCCGATCATCTCCTTCATATTACTCGCCGAGTCGTCGTATTCCTCTGGCAGACACAGCTCGCTGGATACCATCTACCATCAGCAGCGCATAAAGACCAACAAAAAGGCGGTCGGGCGTTTGTCTCACGAATCCCTATCTCCCTAGAAAACCGTATTTTATGTCCCATTTCGATGAAAAGCCATATCTATTTTTTTTTTTTTTTTTTGCGATGTGGAGGTGCGTGTACGCGCATGCGTGGAAAAGCCGACCTAGGGGACGCAGTGGGCTGGAAGAGGCGGGGCTGTTTGATCCACGCAGCGGACGCCATTGAATTTTACCGCGAGCAGAAACAGTGCACTTCTCGCGAAAAAGTATGATTTGAGCTACGCCACGGCCTGTAGCGTCTTCACACACAGGCGAAACTTACTAGAGAAGTGTGACATAATATAGGCCTACCTCTGTAAATAAATACAATTTAAATTTACGCCTTGCACCCTTTTAATGGAGCATATGCACTACCTTCGAACTGGAATCATGGCGGAATATCCTGTGATGTCCACTTAGCAGGGCGCTTACGGTCGAAGTGATAAGAGAAACATACGAAGTGTGCAGAGCGGTGGTACGCGAGGACTGGAATGAGGACCACTGCTGTACAGAGCCGTAGGCCTACGCGTGCAGTGGATTTTTGTATTGGAGGCAGGTTCTGGTTACACAAGTCAAAATTATCCTCAGAAGGTTACCTCGAAATATAAATTATATTCCTTTTCATACTTTATAAGTGGTACATATCTTATTTATTAGTTTCGAAAGATGAAGGCAAATAAAAATAAATGATGCATACAGTGAACTTTTGCCCTCTAAATTAATTAGTGCGCTTGTTTAATCTCATTATCAATAAGAATAACAAATTTATAGGGAATCTCGGAGAATCCTTAAGCAGTAGGCCTATGGGTATATCCCACTTTTATTGTTTTGTTCATTTAGATACTGTGTATATTTTTATAGCCTATATGCTGGATACAAGTGTCAATTTCACAGGGGAAAAAGCAATTAAATGCCTCACTGTATATGACCGGTTTGCCTATAGGCCTAGCAAAGCTTATGAATTGCCTGTCAGTTTCTTCATGCAAATTTTAGAGGTTATTTTCAACATTAACCAAACGCTTAGGTAGCTTTCCGTTTTATTTAATGTCAAGGCTGCTTGCGTGTATGACTATTGTGGGACCATGAAAAACAAAAGAAGTAGGCTATATAGAAAAATGTATCGGGCTTATTTTTATGCTCTGCCTTAAATCTTAACTAGACAAATTAGTGAACATGCAAATAAACACTAATTTAAAACCAATTCTGAACCGATGGTTTTGGCATAGACCTGGACCCAACCGATTCGCAGAGCCCCATCGAACCTCCAATAGGCAACAGTTCAAAACATACGCCTTATGTGTAAATGAGGTTAAAACGCGAGTCTCTCATAATTATAAATAGCCTATGCCTATACTTTGTTTCAATTTTATTGTTGACTTATCGTCACATTTAATGTCCTCCCATTTTAGACAAGCAGGGGCTTTACTTGAATAATAAGTAAACAACATTAAGGATAGTTTCTTTTTATAGATGACACGAATTTATGAATTTTAACTCAAAGGCACCTCTGTGGCTTTTGGCGTTTTTTGATCAGGTCAGTCTAGAATGTCCATAATCTTACTGCCTGCGAATTATTTATCACCATATGGCTCACACACAACCCTTACAGCATTAAATGAACTAGCCTACTATAGACCTACTGGGTAACAGATAGATATTTCGATTTCCATCAGAATTCTCTCATATAGGTGAGTAGCCCACCTGTTATTCAAAATAGGCTGCCCAGCAGACAGTATGATACCTTCTCATTTACTTAAATTGGGCTATTTAATTTTACACATGGAGCATAACGTTCAAGTTTTAATAATACGAAATACAGTAAGATTTTTTTTATACGAAATGTTCCAATATGAAATGAATTGTTCTAATAGCCTATAGAATTAGTCCTATTGGGGGTTTCCTTGCTTCATCCCCTTTTCACAGTAGAGTTTGTAGTTGTATGAGTCTCACTGTCGGACTCGGAGCAATTTCTTGTGGTGGGGGCAATGTTGATTTGCAATGTTGGGATCATTTACAACACCACGTTAAGTTCAGCTGAGTTGACAGATGTATACGCTGCAAAAAAAATAAAAAATCCTTGATATTTTTATAGCGTTAGTGGTGTCATATGCCGATATGATGTTCTGTAATATGATATTCTTAGAAAAAAACGATACGATTTATTAGTTGATAATAAACAAAGTTCTTAAATCAAACTATAGTTATTGATAGCATATAGACCTAGCCATTTTTAAATCAGAGTTTACTTATGCTGCTCCAAAAAAAAAAAAAAAGTGTTTAAAAACCTTGACGTTTTTTTTTATTATTATTAAAATAAGTCCCCTATAGGATCCTGCTGTGTAGGGCTATATAGGTTTTCTAGACCCAATAACATTCATTAGGCCTATTTACATCCACAACAGCCTAATATCATATCCCATATTGGATCTAAAACAGGTAATACCTTAATAGCATCATACCTTAACCTGTGTCTAATGAATACTGTATGTAAATAACATAATAGCTTATATCTATACAGTCTGATGAAAATATTTAATATAATATTTCATATGCGCATTTTTAAATACCCTATGTTTGCTTTTTTTCACATGAAGGGTTTTACGATTAAATAATCTTCCGTAACGGTGTTAAGGTCTGTGACGAATGTTAAACAGAGAGGGTGCAATGGACGACCTGTTTTTCCCTGTCTGAGGCAGGGATGCTCCAGATCCGGAGCCTTAATGAGTTTGCCTGTAACACGAGTTCTCTTTTGCGCAAAGACTTGTGGGCAATTCAGGGGCAGGCACATCCACATGCAGATATGACACGGCAGGGTGAAAGGTTATTTCAGCCCACCCCCAACCAACTCACTCTGTAAATTCAAGTTGCATGTACCAACTCATACGGTCTGAAAGAAGAATGCAACCTGTGAGATGGGAAGGAACTATTTATATTGTTGGCATAAATAACAACTGACTACTTTTAATGCTTGTTTCAGAAATGTAAATGGAGATTAGTTTTGAGTTGAACAGGGATTGTTTAGAGCGAGTCGTGTATAAAGTGTGCCTCATGATTTTCATAGACACGATAGAAACTTTGGGCTCACAGGCATGAAACTGTTCTGTGTGCAAGAGAGTTGTGTTTATCGCCGTTTAGGAATGTATTCGTGCCATGAGAGGTTCGCATCGTGTTATTGAACGTCGCTCAACATTTACTACATCATCTTGAAAGCAGATTTTCGACTACACAGATTTTCGAGTAGTCGTGCAATGTTTTTCCTGTGCTAGAACTTCAACAGGATATCTCTTTACTTCCGCCTTGATTTGTCTTTATGTATGCCAATTTATCGTGCATGCAAAGAAAACATTTGACCAAAATGTCAACTAAACCGTTGCCTAAATGTGCCATTAATGACATGACCAAAAAACGTATTCGAAACCGCTGAAACACTTGAGCTGCCCCGTAGAAAATTGCTAGACGACTTAAATCCAAAGGAAATGTGTTCTTTGTTCTTCTATTGTTAGCTAAATCGCGACGAACAAACGTCCTCTTACCTCACTCTTTCTAATGTGAGAATCTTCTTCATCAAACTTTGAGCTCGCGATCCTTTGCGAAAAGTATGCGCACATTTACTTAATTTAACTTAATGATAAATGGGTTGCAGTGAGCTTTTTTTTTATTTGTCACCGGACGTCTTTGCCATGCTGTTTGAAACTCCGCGCACGTTGTAGTGAGGTAGCCCACGCGGACCCCCACTTGGCGAGTCCGTCACGTTTGAGGGTCCAGGGCCCATCCTGATCTCACTGCAATAAATGAGTCCAACTATCAACTGTCTCAACATAGAAGCGACAAAGTCATAAAGATTCAACTCTTCTCTTAATTAAAAATAGGCTAAATCACGCATATGAAAACAGGAGTTTTAAAATGTTGATTTATTCACATATAACATGGTTAGAAATCAGCAGCTTTATATAAATGTATTGTAACAGCCTTATATTATTATTCAATGATAATTCATCACCGCATTTCCTCACTGACTTGCAGCGTATGCATGGCACTAGTCCTGGTGATCAAAATGAAACTGCGTTTGTTGTGATTGTTGTCAGATTAACTCAGCTTCGTAAATATACTATGTATGTTTTGTTTTAATTAATTTATTGGCATCCCATATATAATTAATAACTACTGTACGTAGTATAAATAAATAAATATATTTAAAGACGGGTCACCTGGGGCTAATCATTTCCAGTAAACTGCATTGGAAGTAATGATATGATCAATGATTCATCTGAGTTATCCCGATTTTCTAAAAGCGACCAACTTTACAATAAATCTTAAAACGGGACAAAACATTTCTGAAGGCAAACCCCTCAACTCTTCAACCACGACGATGCACACTGGGTCGAAGATCAATCATTATCACTCATGTCACAATTGAGGGCTGTTCAAGCTGTGAGGTTTCAGAATCAAAGGCCCAGGACCTGCGTGTTGTCTTTCAAATGTTGTGTGCCCCTTGGATAAAAGTTATAGAGTTCAGCGGAGGTTGGAATAAAATTGACTATTAACAGCTAGACGGCAAAACGTTCAAATATCAGTGTATATGCGAAAAAACGATCAAAATGCATACACTAATGCAGGTCCAATAATATTAGGGAACTTTTCCCATCGTTAAATAGCCTACATTTGTTTACTGCATGGCAGAACAACTATCTGCTCTGTGAGGGTAAATAAACTCTACAAGTGAGAGAATAATTATAGAGTAGCTGCAGCATAAATAAAAGGCTTATAAAAGAGTTAACTATTGTATTTTCTTTGTATGCAAATTTGTAGCATTTATATGTATTTATATATTATGCTGACAATATTTATTTCACATTTTATTTAAAATAAAAAAGGTTAAAAGCGGTGTTATTTAAATATTTGCAGAAATTCAGGCTTATAAACCTTCTGTTTTTTTGTCCGTTTGTTTGACAAAGCAGTTGCAGCAGGAGCCACAGTAATAAGGAGCTGCTAGGACTCAAAGCCGAAGGTTTAACAGGAGACCGAGTGCTCTGAATCAACAGGACAACGACTCGCTTCTAGGAAAGGTAGCCTGGAGTATAGAGTGACATACACTCCCTTGAAAATCTTTACGAACTGGAGTCTATTTATGTTACCGCCCCTTGCGAATCTAGTGAGGTGGGATCGCGTACATTCTGACAAACACCGATGCTGAATTTAGTACTAAAAGGG